CATATAAAAAAAAAGACCCCTGTTAGCAGTGGCGTACGCAGGGGGAGCCGAGGCCCCCCCCCCCCCTTGAGACGAAAAAGTCCTGAAGGGGGGTACAGGAAAAAATACTTTCGCATGATAAAAAATTTTTTGTGCCATGGCGGCCCCCCCCCCTTGAAAAATTTCTGCGTAAGCCACTGTCTGTTAGCCTAACCTCTGTAGGATAAAAATATGAAAAAACATTGTAACTGGTCTTACTAATCATAGGAAGGTTATTTCGACATACATTTCATCACCATCCTTTTAATTAATCCAATAAGAAAGTAGTTTATATATATTAGAGTCAGATGTTATTGATATACGTTCTTCGATTGTATATCAACAATGTCTGTTGCGACTTGTAATGATTTCTGACTGCCATCTGTGAGTAGACAATGGTTCAAATATTTACCCGTATACTTAAACAATTTTCTTTAGATTATATTTCATAAAATTCATTGTGTTTTTTTTTTGTTTTTAGCTCGTCCAGCTGCTTCATCAATTGAAAGTCTTGATGAAGTTGAATCATCTCCACATTTACCTATAGTTAATCGATCTCATGATTCTGGTTTAGCTGCATCTGATCAACCATTTAATGATGATAGTTCCGAAATAAGTGAACATTTTCGACGTAATATAATACCTGTATTAACACCATTACCGGATTGGACATCATCAATAGTTTGTGGTAAAGGTATTGTATTAACAAGTATAATTATAAATAATTCAAATACATCAATAACACGACGTCGTAGTTCAAAAAATACATATAAACCATCAAAACAATTTTTAGAACGAGAAAAACTAACAAATAATACAACAGATGATTCAGATAATAATTCAAGTATACGTTCATCATCAACAACAATTCATAATATAACAATAGGAAAATTAAAACGTTCAAAATCTTTATCACGTCATTCATCATTAGGTAGTGGTGAACATAAACACCAACACCAACAACAACAGCAACAACAACAAAAACATTTAGCAAAAGAATCTCGACGTTTAACAACTAATGATGTTAAACGTACATCATCATTAAAACAATTTCATCATTCATCGGATGAAGGAGGTGATGATGATGACGAACAAAACAATGCATTAATATCGAATAAAAATAAAAATTCCTTAACAAATGAACGACGAACAAAATTAACAAAACCAAAAACAAATATTATTAAAAAAAATATTAATGAAGAAAGCATGACAACAAGGTTTGTTACATAGACAATCAAATCATATTTTCTTTTTTAATACAGAATGAAAATTCAAGAATTTTTGATAATACAATAGGACATCTTTTTTATGTTAATTATCTATTAGGACTGAATAGAATGCAATAGGACGAAAAAAAAGACGTTCTATGAGATCAGTTTGTTTGTCCTATCGCTTGAAACAATTTATCTAAAGGCTTTCTTATTCTATCATTTCCTTTGGAGAGTAGCTGATTTGACATGGAATATTTTATATCAATCATGTAAATTCTACTTATTTTTCAAAAACAAAATTATGGATCTTGTTGAGTTCTTACATATACGATAGTGAATTTATTGAGATCTATTTTAATTTACTGAACTGAATTGAAATTTAGGATTGATTTTCCATCGCTGTAGTCTTAGCTTCTGTTAAATTTATTTAATTTTGCCAGATTACTAAGTGTTATTGAAAATTCTTTCATACTTTGCTGCTATGTCATAGATTTTTTTCAGACTCTATTGAACTTGATAATTATTGAGATACATCAAAACTTTCAATCTATCATTAGTTTTGTTTTCTAAATGGAAACTTATCGTAAAAAAATTTCTTGGGATCATGACATTTTATTCAAATAATCAACAGTATGTGTGAAAATACTCGAATAAGTCTCAAGCGCATAGCACTTAAAAAATAAGCAGTGTTTGTTTTCATTGTTTAAACTTCTGTAAAAACATGAAAAGTTTTTACATAAAAGAAAAAAGAAAGAAACTATTTCTATTGAAAAGAGAAGACTCATAATCAGATGAAAAATTACCTTGAGTTCATATTTTAGGAAATTCACATTTTTTTTTTTTTCATAAGAAAAAAATCTTTGATTAAAAAAATTAATCAAGTACATTCAACTTCTTATAATCACTATCAATTTTCGTTTGAATGAACCAGATGTCGTGATATAATTTAATTGAATAGATCACTCTATCAACTTCTAATCACTATTGAATCGTTTTGTTTGTCTTGCTGAGCAACAGTATAAGAGT